AAAAATATGTGAATAGTTTCCATAGCTACATATTATATATTTATGTGCAACCATATACAGAGAGAAGCCTTTTTAAAATGAGGACAAGGCTGATATATAACAGGCCGCTTCTCTTGTTAGTGTGGTCAAATGTAAAGAATAGCCCTAGCGGGTTGGGCTCAGTGGATAGAGCCTCGGCCCGTGGACTGAAGGGTCCCGGGTTTGATTCCAGTCAAGGGCACATGCCCAGGTTGCAGGCTCAATCCCCTGTAGGGGGTGTGCAGGAGGCAGCCGATCAGTGATTATCTCTCATCATTGATGTTCCTATCTCTCCCTCTCCCTTCCTCTCTGAAATCAATGTGTGTGTGTGTGTGTGTGTGTGTGTGTGTGTGTGTGTGTGTATGGTTTTTTTGTTTTTTGTTTTGTTTTTTTTTTAAAGAATAGATGAGACTCCATCGGTCCTCAGCAGAGACCTGAGTCCAGAGTAACTCACCACCTCCCCTTAGAGGAAAAACACAAAGAAATGGCTTCCTTCCCCAAGCTTCCAACCTCCTAGAGTGGGAATTGGGCATTTACTCCCATATCACTGGGTATGCATAAGGGTCAGCGTAAGGGTTAAGAGCAGAAATACGGGGTACACTACCCAAGTTCAAATCCCTGCTGTGATGTCTGGCTGGTTACTTAGCCTTTCAGTGCAGTGCTTTCCACACCTGTAAACAGGGGTCAAATGAATGAACATGTGCAGGGCCACCTTCATTGGCGTGTGACCAGTGCAGGCTGACCTCCATCCCCTTCCTCCGAAAGGCCTTGCACCTGGGGTTTAATGCCCCCCAACTCCATCTGGAAACACTTAATGATTTTATCTTTGAGTTTGTGTTTTGTAAGTGAAATATGATGGGACAATGAAGGATGTGCAGGAACGTGGAGCCTCAGCACACACATGGCCTCCCACTGTGCCCAGGCTGGGTCCTGGGCCACCTGCTCCCTGGCTCATTCCCCTAGGGCAGTGGTTCTCAACCTTCTGGCCCTTTAAATACAGTTCCTCATGTTGTGATCCAACCATAAAATTATTTTCGTTGCTACTTCCTAACTGTAATGTTGCTACTGTTATGAATCGTAATGTAAATATCTGATATGCAGGATGGTCTTAGGCAACCCCTGTGAAAGGGTCGTTCTACAGCCAAAGGGGTCGAAACCCACAGGTTGAGAACCGCTGCCCTAGGGCAATGCCAACAGTGAGATAAGTGGGGTAACCATCCCAGCGCTCAGGGGATGGGAGGCAGCCTCCAGGCAGAGTTCTGAACAGCACACAGGGCGGTACAACAGGGATGGAGACCAGAGTGAAGAGTTCTGGAAAATTTGGCCAGAGAGGAAAGCAGGGGCCAGCCTGGAACCAGCCTAAGCTGCCTGCAGCTGCCCAAAGAGTTCTACTAACTCTGGCAAGGAAGACTGTGGACCCAGATGGAATTACAAAAGGTTCAGCACATCCCTCAAGATGTAGCATGTTTGTAGTCCATGGCTTCTTGGTGGATGCTTCCAGATGATCAAGCATCTGTGTGGTAGAAATTACCTTTGATCTAACTACTAATGAGCTCAAGGTAGCATGAACCATATCAGTTCTTGGAGGAATAGAGATTTAAGAAAAATTCAGAATCGGATTGACATTTACGAGATAATAAAAATTCAGCTTTCTTTTTCATTAATATTTTAAAGGATTCATAAGCTCCTATGACTCAACTGAGAATTCTCCAATGCCTATAAACTCATGTTATTGTTGATAGTATTATAAAAAAAAGAAAGCAGTAATAAGTTTATATAGCTTAACATGTTTTAAATAACTAACTTGAACTGAGAAGGAATCCACCTTCCCCCGAATTTACATGAAGTACCTGTTTTCTATCAAAATTCAGTTAAATTATGAAAGCAATCTTTTAAAATGTCCTTGTATGTTTTGTGATGGTAAACACTGTGAGAAAACATTTTGTTTTGAGTTGTGTAGCTAAATCTAATATCCAGGGCTTTTCATTTTATTTCTCAAAGTTCTGTAGAACCTGGGTAAATATCTACAAATGATAAAGTTACCATGGAAACATAAATTGAAAGCCTTACCTAGAATTACAAAAAAAGAAATTCATAATGCTTCTTCCTACTCCTGCTGTTTTCACAACCAAGTTTTTCTTGAACAAATATTAAAAACTCCTTTTTTTGTATCAAGTAACCAATGTCTGAGGAATAAATCTCAAATTCAACTTAAGAAAAAAGAACTACTATATAGAAGCTTTCCAAAGCTAGAAAAACTTAACTACATATTGACATATAATGGTGTTTATAAACTTTGGAAGCACCCAAAATGCCTAAAAATAAAGAAATAATCAAATAAATCATCATATGAGAAAATATGCAGTTATTTAAATTATATTGTGAAATAGTACTTCATGGCATGAGAAAATGTTTGTGATTCATTAAATAAAAAGAACCAATTGTACATATGTTGCACAAGACCACTGTTATAAAGTCAGTTTTGGCCTGGCCAGCATGGCTCAGTGGTTGAGTGTCAACCTATGAACCAGAAGGTCACAGTTCGATTCCTGGTCAGGGCACATGCCTGGGTTGCAGGCTCGATCCTCGGTGTGGGGCATGCAGGAGGCAGCCAATCAATGATTCTCTCTCATCATTGGTGTTTCTATCTCTCTCTCCCTCTCCCTTCTTCTCTGAAATCAGTATGTACATATATATATATATATATATATGTATATTTAAATAAAGGGATGGAGAAAGATGTACCTTTCTAATATACTCAAAACAAATCTGGAGTAGCTACGTTAACTTCAGACAAAGCCAACTTCAGAACAAGGAAAAATATCAGGGATAAGGAAGTGTGCTAATGATTAAAAGGTCGGTTCTCCAAGAAGACATAGCAATCCTTAACTTGTATGCACCCAATAACAGAGCATCAAAATACATGAGGCAAAAACTGATGGAACTGCCAGGAGAAAAGGCAAAGAGACTATTATAGTTGGAGACAGCAACCTCTCTATCAGTAAATGACAGATGCAGCAGGCAGAAAATCAGTAAGGACAAGGTGAGCTGAACAGCACCGTCGGTCAACTGGATTTAATTGATCCTTGTAGAATCCTTCATCCAACAGCAGAATACATTCTTCTCAGGCTCACATGGAATAGTCACCAAGACAGACCACCTCCTAGGTTATAAATCACACCTTAGCAAATAGAAACCACACAGAGTATGCTCTCCAACAACACGGACTTAAACTAAAAATTAATAAGAGAAAGATAGCTGGAAAATCCCCAAATAGTTGGAGGCTAAAGGACACACTTATAAACAATACATGGGTAAAATGGGAGTCTCGAGAGCAATTTTAAAACGTTTTTAAGGAAGAAAAATCGAAATACAACTTATCAAAATTTGTGGGATACCGTGAAAGCAGTGCTCAGAAGGAAGTGTAAAATGGTACAGCCACTCTGGGAAGGACTTTGGCAGTTTAAAACAAACAACTTAATATGCCACTCCCATCGGATCCAGCAATCGCACTCCTGGGAATTGCATCCCGAACAAATGAAAATTTATATCCACACCAAAACCTGTACTCAAATGTTTATCGTAGCTGAACTTACGACAGCCACAAACTGGAAATGACGCAGCTGTACTTCAGGCGGAATGATTAAACTACCGATTGTACAGCCATACATCCACACCACAGAAAACTACTCAACAATAAAAAGAAGCACTTGATATGTGCCACAACCAGGATGAATCTCCAGAGACTTATGCTGAGTGGAGAAAAAAAAATGCCAACCTCAAAAGGTCACATAAAGTATCGTTCCACTTATCGAACATTCGTGAGATGACACAATTACAGAAATGGAGGGCAGGTGAGTTGTCAGGGGCTAAGGAGGGGTGGTGGTGGGAGGGAAGGGGGTGTGACTATAAATAGGCGTATGCGGGATCTTTGTGGTGATAGACATGTTTTGTATCTTGATTGTACCCTGGTTGTGATATTGAGGCAAAGAGTAAAAGGTATAAGGGCTCTATTTGCGTTATTTCTTGCAACTGCACAGGAACCTGTGATTATTTCAAAATTGAAAGTTTAAGAAAAAAACCCAATAGGTCAGTGGGTCACATTGGGTATACACATTGAGCTGTACCCTTAAGATCTGTGCATTTTGTTGCATGTAAATTTCAACTCTTACACGCTAATGGACTGCTTTTCAATAAACCAGGGCAAAAGATGATCCTAAGAATTTGAAGTAAAATTTGCACATTATACCGTAATTTCTCATAAATTCTTCTTTTGTATACTACTTAGAGACTCCCTTGAGTCAGCCTAACTTTAACAGAGCTCAATTGATGTTATTTCTACTTTCTAATCATATATAGTCTTGGCTACAATTTGAGTAACATTGTTTAAAGTATATCCAGGAAGGTTCCTTAATATATGAGTAATCTTTCTTTTATTTTGCCACTTGTATTATTAGACATATTTATGGACCAATGGTAATGGCTTATTAGGAGGTGGGAATGTTTCATAAGTCATTTAATATTATGAAACCAAACTTCAAGCTGTCACACAAAGTTCTATATAATGCACCATAGTAATTGAATTATAACATTTACAAATTGTGAAACTTAAAACTTTATCTAATAAGCAAAATAAATTGGAAAACTAAAGATGATGGCTGAAAACAATTTTTATAAATGGTTCCTAATCATTTTACAAAAGGTTTCATTTTATTACCTACCTAGTAACTTAAATTTCAATATTTTTTGAAACTTAATACTTTTCAGAGTCTTTACTTAAAAGATGAGATTTCCAGAGCATCTGAGATCTTGCTCCCCAGGATGTCCTCAGTTTGGCTCAAATAAACTCTTACAAAAAAAAATGGGATTTCCATGTAATTATCAGAATTTACATATATATATATAATATATATATATATATAATATATATATATATACACACACACACACACACACACACACACACACACACACACACTTGGTCTCCATAGAGACTGTCCAAAATTGCCAATGCCAACTATATTTCAAGTCGTCATGGCGGGGCATTGGGAAAAGTTTTCAATTAGCAATAGTCATGCCTCAGATGAACCTCATTGGCTATGATACTACCACTGTGTAAAGATCATCAGAATATTTTTTTACAATTTTTTGTAATCTAGCCAGAGGAAATATCTTTTATATTTAACATGAACATATTTCCCAGAAGTATGTGGGAGTGTTAGAATCATAGAATATTAAAACTAGAAGGTCCTGGAAACATTTTTGTTCAGCCGTCTCAGTAGGTATGGAAAGGCGGTCACTTACCCAAGGGCACAGACTTTCGGTTAATGTGCACTCCATACGTATTTGTTTAGCGCCCTCTACTGGAAAGCTGTTAGACTGGCCGGGGGCACGGCAGTGAATGAAAGGGGAGGGGAAACTCCTAACCTCAGAGTTTATAACCTAGTCAGGGGAGAAAGGCAAATAAATACGTGAAATACATAACCCAACAGCTGGACAAATATGCTATGAAGGAAAATGAAGCAGAAAAGAGGTGTGTTGCAGAAGGAAACTAATTTTGAACATACGGTGGTCTGAGGTCTCAATGATCAAAGGGCATTTGAGCAGCTACCCAGGAGGAAAGGGGGAGGGTCACATGGGTGGGTGAGGAGCTTTCTGGGCAGGGCAACAGCCAGCACTAAGGTCTGAGGGAGGCGAACTCGGCCTGTTCCAGAAAAGCATGGAGGCTGGAGTGGCTGGAGCAGAGCTGGGAAATGGAATGATATCCCCAAGTTGAGAAGGGGCCCCTGAAGGGCCTCGCAGGCCTTTGTAAGGACTCGACTTTATGTAAGAAATGGGAGCTGCTGAAGGTTTTTGAGTAGCGGAGTGACCTCCCATAACTTTGGTTCGTGTGGAGAGTAGATGGCAGGGGGACAAGAACAAACAGGGACCAGTTAAGAAGCTATGAATTGCCGAAACCGGTTTGGCTCAGTGGATAGAGCGTCGGCTTGTGGACTCAAGGGTCCCGGGTTCGATTCCGGTCGGGGGCATGTGCCTGGGTTGTGGGCACGTCCCCAGTGGGGGATGTGCAGGAGGCAGCTGATCGATGTTTCTCTCTCATCGATGTTTCTAGCTCTCTCTCTCTCTCCCTTCCTCTCTGTAAAAAATCAATAAAATATATTTTTTTTAAAAAAAGAAGCTATGAATTAACCCAGAGGACAGAGGACACAGTGTGGGGCGGGATGGTAGATATGGAGCGTGTGAGAAAGGGTTACATTTTTGAAGGGAGAACCCAGAGGGAGTAAAGGGCAGAGGTAGGTCAGGACCCAGGTTTCCGATGCCTTCTTTTTGATACACCATGCTGCTGAATCAAGTTCAAGAGAGTATCCCCAAGAAGCAATTTGATTTCTGAGTGACAAGTAAGGAAGGACTAGAGTTGCAGTTTTCAGGATGCAGCTAAGCACAGCTCACACACTGGGTGAGACACTTTCTTTCTCCGCCACGAGGGTCAGCCGGCAGAGCAGATGCAGTCATAGATTGTGATGGTTAACTTTAAGTGCCAGCCTGACGGGCCACGGGGTGCCCAGATTCAACATTATTTCTGGGCATGTCTTTGAGGGTGTTTCCAGATTAGTTAGTATTTGAATCAGCGGTTTCGTACAGTGATTGCCCTCCCCAATGTGAGTGGGCCTCGGCCAACCCACCTGGGACCAGACTAGAACAAAAGGTGAGAAGGAATCTGATCCTTTTTTCCTGCACAGGACGATGCTCCAACCGAGCCACACCAGCCAGGATTATATGCTTTGCTTTATTTATTTACTTTTTAATATATTTTTTATTGTTGATAGTATTACAGATATCTCCCATTTTCCTATATGCTTTATTTTAAAGAAGTTTTATTTGTATAAGAAACAAGAAAAGATAAATTATATATTTTTTTAAATTACATATAAGGACACTATAGGAATAGCCTCTATACCCTACTGTTGGCTGGTTCAAAGGCTCAAAGGGCCTCAGGTTATAACGTATCGGGTGAGTCCTCCCCCTCGGACCTCTGACAGCCGCCGGCAGTGTCGTAAGATATTCAGTATAACATGAAACCTCTTGTCAACTTTCAAAGCTGTGAACTCCTTTATGTCAGCTTCCACTACAAAATAATGACCTGAAAATAAAGATATTAGTGCTAATTTTTATAAGGGCAACTTTCAAGATGAGTCTTTAATGCATTACATTGTGATTATGAATGGCATTAATCATGTTTATTATCATTACCCAACCAAAGTGAGAAACGGTATTCTTGCCAAAATAACAATTATTCTTTCAAGTGAAGTTGCATAATGTTTACTGTAGCATTTCAGTAACCTAGCCCTGCTTAGTATATCACTACCTATCTGTTGATATCTTTTGAACAATTCACTTTTCAAGAGCTAATTGGAGATAGTGGATAAGAGAATGAGACCCTCAGCAGCTCTATCACCTGACTGGCTGGCCTTGGGCAAGTAACTTGGGCTCTCTGCCTGGTCTGCAAAATGGAGTTAGTGGTCGCCCGTACCTCCTAAGGACGTGAGGAGGACTGAAGCTCCCTCAGTATACCATCTGGCACGCAGGAAGTGCTAGGTAAGCACGACCAACTGTTATGGTTACTATTCTCATTCTGTAAACACTGGTTATAGTTCCATAATAAACTCTAAAGCAGTGTTGCTCCGCCTCAGCACCACATTCCGGGTTACATCATTCTTTTTCGTGGGAGCTGTCCTGTGCGTTGGAGGGGACTTTAGCAGCATCCCTGGTCTCTATCCACCAAATGCCAACCCAGCCCCAGTTGTAGCAACCAAAGATGTCTCCAGAGATGGCCAAGTGTCCCGTGGTGGGAAAATCGCCCCCAGTGGAGAACAGCCTCTCTAAATTTAGAATGTTCTAGAATTAGTTCTGTTTCTCATGATTTATTTACACTCCAAACAGATGGCAGACATACATAGACGTATGCCCTGTCATTTTACCTTTGGTATCCTTTGTTTCTTCATCAATGAATCTGTGATAGAGATTTCTGGCCACAGAACTCATCGACTTTTTCGGCTGATGTAGGATCTTATATTTACTAACTACTGCCTTGTTGATTTCTTTAATAACATCATTAATTTGACAATAGGTTAAGCGGGATTTCATGTACCTGTAAATAAGTAGATGATTTATTTTTTTAAAGACTCATTATACAAAATATTTTCTTTGAAAAATGTTTATGATGATGTTATACTGTAACCTGATTTCTCTTATTCACCAAATAACCCCTAAAAAATTAATACTCTACCATGACCATTTAATTTCCTTCTTTTATCTCTTTATGAAAGCATTTTCTAAAAAACCGTCTACTCCACAGTTCTTCCCTGTAGTTCAGCCAATGAGCAACAACAATAACAATTTAAAAAACTGAACAGCTCAGAACTTCATGAGAACAAAGCTGTCGATAAAGGAAAAGACTGAGTGACCACTTCCAGCCTCCTTACTCATCCCAGAATTACCGAGCAGCCAGTATTTTTCAAGTGGCCAATAAGCACGTGAAAAGATGCTCAACATCATATGTCATTAGGAAACTGAAAATTAAAACGAGATACCACTGCACACCTATGGAATTGCTAAAACAGAAAAAAACTGACAAAACTGAGGCAGGTAAGGATGTGAAGCACTGGCGGCGCTCACTCGTTATGGTGGGAATGCACCTTGGCCCAGCCACTCTGGAAGCCGGTGGGCAGTTTCCGACAAAGCTAGACATCCTCCTCCCAGAGGGTCTAGCAACCTCACTCTTAGAAATAATGGTACAGTGAAACTTCTCTTAGGCAAGACTATTCTGTAATTCCTCATTTCCTTGAGCAAGAGGCCTAGGAGGAAAATACCTGGGATGCAGAGCATGATTATTTTACTTTCTTGAGAGCTGTCTATATCAGTTGTTTTTTTATAATAATAAAGAAACAACCAATTATGTATGTGAAATTAAATTAAATCTACAAGGAAATACTCTATCTTATCTGAGTGGTAGAATTACAGATGGTCATTTTCGACAACAAATATTTTCTAACCACATGTATTTTAAAATAATAATGAAAAATGTAATGATATAAAGCCAAGAAGCGAAGCGAAGCCCTGGAATTACGAGAGTTTAAAAACACGATTCCCGCCCTAACCGGTTTGGCTCAGTGGATAGAGCGTCGGCCTGCTGATTCAAGGGTCCCAGGTTCGATTCCGGTCAAGGGCATGTACCTTGGTTGTTGGCACATCCCCAGTGGGGAGTGTGCAGGAGGCAGCTGATCGATGTTTCTCTCTCATCGATGTTTCTAACTCTCTATCCCTCTCCCTTCCTCTCTGTAAAAAAATCCATATATTAAAAAAAAAACCAAAAAAAAAAACCATGATTCCCATAACTGGTTTCCCACTGCTGTCATCTGTAAAGTGCAAAGGAGACCTGCCTCTAGGCGAGGCATGCTGTGTTATTCGCCCCTGTTTTCTCCCAGTGACCCAGGCCCAGAATAGAGCCCAGACTCAAGTAAGTGTGGGGCATAAGTTAAGGGACAAATGGAAAAACAAACACACATTCTCCATTCTAACCTCAATTCTATACAACACACTTGCTTTAAAATCACAGCAAAACTGAGACTACGTCTAAAATGTACGGGGGTAAGTCTAAATCACAAAGTGGTCCTGGAGAGGACTCGGCAATCAACTGACCCTTCTCTCAATCTCTACGTGATTTTAAGCATTTTCAACAAAAGATTTCCTGCATTTTCATAGTCTACATCGGACTGTTTTAGAAAAGGTCAATATTTGAACACAGCGTATTATGATGAATATCATGAAGCCTTGTGATTTAAACAAGCATGTATGTTGATTATTAAACAGCTGAACGTTAGCATTTAGTTTAAATACTTACGCAGGGATGCCATTGAACTCCTCAGAAGTTATAAATGGCATTTCTTTAATATTCCTTTGTTCTTTAGAGGGCTTCTTTGTGACTCCAGGTTCCTCAACTTTGACAGGTTCTTCAGAGTCAAGATCTGATACGTTAACACTACAGAACAGAGATGCACAGCACACAGGCAATCGTCAGAATTGTACGCATACTAGGAAGAAATCAGCATCCAACACATGGTGC